TCGAAAGAAGTTGAAAACAATTTCAATTTTAGAAAGATTTTGAATTATACATGAAAGAACACCAAAACAATAGGTGATAAACAATAAGACAGTCAATAAACTATATTACAGGAAAAGATGTGTCGAAAAACAATAAGATAGATTAGTAAATTTTGAAACATGAACTTACTTATAAGTTTCTGAGAAAATGTCAGAAGATGGGTCAGTCTGGGCTGCTGCATTGTCAGCTGCCGACATACACTTGCTTATCAAGTAATCCGGCAGAAAATTAAACCATGATGTCTGTCGAGAGCTCTAAAAATTGGTGCATTCTAAAAACCAATTTAACACGTCTTTTATTATTCATATTCTATAGTGCACCGAGAACCTAAAACTATTAGCACTCTACATTGATCAGAATATTTCTTTTATGGCCAGTGATTCTGCGGCAAAAGGTTGAAAAAGCTATCAAATGGAAGTAAACGAAAAATTTGCAAAATCCTACACAAATACACTCTCATTTTAATGGGCATGGGAAAAACACTCATTCATCAAAGAGTATAATAATTCCAATAAATCGGAAAAATCTAAAGACCATTTTCCTCCACCAGAATAAATAAATACATCATTTCAAGAAAAAACCAAATCAGATGAACTATCAGAAACACACAATTTGTAAAAAAGAAATATCCAAAAAATTGTAAATAGAAATTAGGAAACCACCAGAATTTAATGTATTTGAAGAAAACTATAATTTTTTACGCAGGGATTTTCTGCTTCTGGAGACAGCATTCTGGACAGAGACAAAGCCAAAGTACGACGACTCTCGCCATCGTCATCGGACATTTCATATTCCTCTATTTTTAGTAAAAACGACCAAGCCTGAGCATATTGCGTATTCGTATCACAAAACTGTTGGAAAAGAAGTTTCCCGATCGGTTGCTTCTCCACAATATATCCGTAACTATAAACAGACAAAAGAAATCAGTAATAGTAAAATTAATTCTCTCCTGATTTCCGGAAAATTATGAACCATGCTGATATCACCGATTGAAAGTTATACAGTAAAATAAATTAACGAAGATTTTTTGCTGAAGCACCCAACTGCATCAAAGGAATACTAAAAAAGATCCAGCTTAAAAACAATGTTATAAAAAGTAAAATTAGATGTTTTCGGGACTTTTAAACGCCTATGAGTCATACACTCTTGCAAAAATTAAAAAACCAATCAATGTATTTCTCCGGGTCTTACGCGCATCCTTATTCTTCCCCATTCCGTATTATCCAAAAACACAAAAACAATATGACTTTTTAAATCAGCATAGATAAGTTGTAAATAAAGTAATACCACTTATAACTATTACAATTATAGAACTCCTGCGTTGAGAAATATTAAAAAAGAAGAAAAACTCGTCATATCCTTCAATCATCTTTAACTTCCTAAAATTTACAAATAGAAGCAACGACAATGAAATAAATTGAAAAAGTTTCTTAGTCCAAAGCAAGGTGTTTTTAAAAATAGGATGACCTCAAACTTTATTCAAAAAAAATTTTTGCTGAACCATAAATGGAGGAAACCGAAGTGCATTACATAAAACAATACGAACAACAGACTTTCAGCAAGTTGAAAAACTCTATTCTATTGCAACAAAAAGGTTCTCTAAACATCGCTTCATCAACGCCTCTGAAACCAGTCCTCAAATAAAACCTCAGTTCTGTTTTCCAATTAAAAGAAAAAGCGTAAGCTGCATTGGTTGCTAAAAATAAACTTTATTACTCTGACAGCTTATTCAGCCCTAAAAGTATGACATAAGAAGTAAATAAATAATTGTTTTCTTCTTCGCTACAAGCTTTGCACTAGTGCAGTAAATTTAGAAAAAATGAAAAAAAAAAGACAAACTGCCCTGTGATACGCACTCGAAATTTTCCCAACAAGAATTGTTTATTTAAAAGTACTAAATAAAAAAGAAACGGTTCCGCAAAATTAGCATAATAAAATATTGAAAGAGTGACTTGAATACGCATCACATGTTGGATTCTCACAACTCCTTCCACTAAGAAAAAAAACCGATTTCCCGCAAAAAACTATTTTACTGGATAAAAGCTGTGCATGACAAGCATCAAAGCATCATCGCGTTTATCATAAAGAAGTTCCTAAATCCATTTAGAAAATAACTGAAATAAGCCGGCAAGCGAAGAGGAACTGTTGTCTGCAACTGCAAGAAGTTCTCAAGAGAAAAAAAAAGAGGAAAGCAAGCAAAAGAAAACTAAGACAAAAAAGCAAATCCAAACAGTAAAAAATAGAGCTAGAACCTTTTGAAGTTCACAATCGAAGAGCTGCCAGAAATCCTAATTAACTTATCAGCTTTTGCTCCTTAGCTAAATGAACTGAGTCCCACAGTTCAAGATGAAGGAGGCAACCGATGAACCAAAAAGTAGCTGTACTTGCAAAAAGAAGTTAATGATAAGAAAAACAGAAAGTGGGTAATAATTTAGTGTTTCAAGACACCGAGTAATTCTAAAGAATGACAACTATTACCATACTAAGACTGTTACCGCTACTACTATCGAATGAGCAATTAGCTACAACTCTAAATTTTGTCCCAACAGCAAAACTACTAAACTCAGCTGACACAAATGAAAGCAGTCGTTTTAAAAAAAGTAGATGACTTTCAGATGCCTTACCTGACATCAATTTCAGATCGAAGATATAAGCATTCGGTAAAATGTGGAAACTGCAAATAGTTCTTCCATTTCTTACTTTTTCCTTTTTTCTGTCCACCACCTGCAAAGTGTTTGAACATTTACTTACAAGGAACTAAACAAATGCTACAAAAAAAAAAAAAAATAAATAAAAAATAAATAAAATAAAAAATAACAAAATTTCCCTAATCATTTTTGATCCCATCGTTATTATTACTTGACAAATTATTTTTTTTATTCCAGCTAAACTTTTGCTGTACTGCTGTGAAAAAAAAAAAAAATTTTTTTCAACTGCCATAAACAGGCAAATAATTAAAAAGAAAGAAGAAAAAGAGGATTTCTAGATATGTTTACACCAGAAATTTAATTTAAGTACTTGTCTGAAATCTAAGATCCTTTACACCAGATAACTAGACCTTAGAGAGAATCAGCAAAATGAAAAAAAAAAAAACAAAAAAAACAGGGGTTTCCCTCTTTCCTCCTCCTCAAGGAAAGGAAAGGCTAAAGGTATACAGAAGTTAAAGAAGAAAAAAAAGGTAAAGCATCTTTTTGACTGTAATACACTTTAATCTCCTCCAAAAAAAAAAAAAA